GATTTGTGAGATATCTGGAGTTCCACAGATTCTCTAGGGAGCTCCAATATATTTGATGGAGGCTAGAAGACCCATGGAATCCCCCATGCTAACCAATTTAGAAACACAAACTAGATATTCTCAAGGTTTTGTAACTGTGTACTACACAGCAGGCCCCAACCAGCAGTATCAAAAATAATTGAGAACTCATTAGAAATATGAATTTTCAGGCCCTGTCCCAGGACTACTGATGCAGAAGTTCTGAGGGTGGGGCTTAGCATCTTTGATTAGACAAACTCCATAAGTGATTCTGACACAATTATGAGGATCACAGACGCAGAAGTGCTAGAAATGAAGTTTATCAGCCAGGCTCTTGAAACAGCCTTGGTGATAGTTCACACTCCTGATTTATCAGAAGAAAGTGGGGCACTAAGAATAAATCCCAAGGGAGCTTTGGATAACTCCCAATCATGTTCATGAAGAATTATTATGACTTTAGTGTAGATTATACTGTTAGCTGGTCATTTATTTCATAAATAAATGGACTGTATAATTATACATAAACAAAGCATTGTGGTGAGTTTTCCCTTTTTCATTTATTCTATACAAATAGACTGTTGTTATTATCCAAATTAATAGTTGTAATACATTCTTATTTATGTAATGCAATGTAAAATTGCCATAATTACATTTCACGAAAAACACAGCTTGTATGGTAATACTAGAATTATCAATATAATGTAACGTCTTGCAACACACAAATATAGGTATATCCTCAAAAGTTATAGCTTAGAAAATATTTTGCATAGTTTTATACAAGAAAACATGCATTGTACATTTTAATTGTGATTATATATTAGTTGCAATAAATAAAAAAGTCAATTATATCCTTGCCTTTACATAGAAGTGAAGGTAAAAACAAAAATGTTGAAGACGGAGATAAGGAGCTATTGGAAAGCTACATGTGATGGTCTGTAAGAGCTAACATTTATAGAGTACTTATATGTGTCAGATGTTGTAATTAGAGCTTTGACAAACACTAACTCATTGGATAATTAAAATATTACTATGAGGCAGGCACCCAGGAAACAGACTTGAAAAATTACTATAATTTGTATAAGATCAGATAATCATTAAATGAGAAGTCAAGGCTCAAACTCAATACTTTACTAATTCAGAGTAAAAAAGAAAAACACCCATCCAAAGAGACCAAAATAAAAATAACAAGAGTGAAAGTAAAAATAACTCTTAGCAGAAAACATAGGACCAATCTTCATAACCTTGGATACAGCAATGCCTTCTAAATATGCCCAAAACACAGGGAATCAAGTAAATGGTTAAAGTGGTCAAAATTTTAAACTACTGTGCTTCAAAGGATATCATCAAGAAAGTGAAAACATCCCACAGAATAGGAGAAACTATTTGCAAATTATTTATCTGATTAGAGTCTTATATCTAGAAGATATAAAGAACATTTATGACTCAATAATGAAACTACAAATAACTCAGTTAACAAGGCAAAGTATGGATATGTATCCAAAAAAGATATACAAATGGGCAAAAAGCACGTGAGAACATGCTCAGTATTATTGGTCAATAGGAAAATGCAAATCAAAACCACAATGAGATACCACTTGTATTAATCAGTTTTGCATTACTACATAAGGTGACTCCTGAGGCTAGTACTTCATAAAGAAAAGAGGTTCATTTAGCTTATGCTTCTAGAAGTTCAAAGTCTCCATCTGGCAGGGGCCTTCTTCTAGCAGAGTCCTGAAGCAGCATAGTGCATCATGTTGCAAGTGCACACATATCTATATGCTCTTTCATCCTCTCTTCTTATATACCCACCAGTATTCAGTCATGGGGGCTCCATCTTGATGGCTTTATTTAATTCTAAAAACCTCCCAAAGGCCCCATTTCTTAATACCACAGTCAGATCAAACTATCTTCTCTTAATACCTCAAAATGAAAATTAAATTTCAATAGGTGAACCCTTGAGGGACACACTCAAACCTTATACATATCACAGCGTTACATCATACCTCCTATGATGACGAAAGTTAAAGACAGAAAACAAGATATAGAGATATTGAAACCTTCATACAATGCTGGTAGGAATCTGAGGTGAGGCAGCTGTGCCAGTTAATCCTGATCATCAATTCAACTGGATTGAGACTCCTTGGGAGGTAGTTGGATCATGAGGGCACTAACTTCATGAAAGTGCTAACCCACTGTTGAGTTCATAGCTGAATGGGGTATCAGGAGACAGGGCTTCAATGGAAGAAGTAGATTATGGGGATGTAAACTTGGGGATGATATCTGGTCCCTGCCTCCTTCTTCTCTGGCTTCTCTTGCTCCCTGCTCATGGTAGTTTCCATCTGTCATGCCCTTCAGCCATTATATTTCTGCTTTTGAGCCAGCTGACCAAGGACTGAAACCTCTAAAACCATGAGTCAAAATAAACCACTCTTCTTTTAAATTGCAGGTGACAGATATTTTGTCCCAGCAATGGGAAAGCAGACTAATGAAATGGTCTGGCAACTAGTTCCTCAAAAGACTAAACATAGGGCCAGGGATTTAGCTCAGTGGTTCTGTCACCTGCCTTGAAAGCATGAGGTCCTGAGTTCAATCCCCAGTACCAAAAAAAAAAAAAAAAAACACTAAACATAGAGTTACACTATGACCCAGCAACCCCACTTCTAAGTATATCCCCAACGGGAATAAAACATATCTCCACAGAAACTCTTGTACAAATGTTCATAAGAACATTCCTTTTTTTTGGTACTGGGGATCGAACTCGGGTCCTTGCGCTTGCAAGGCAGGCCACCGAACCACTGAGCTAAATCCCCAGCCCCAAGAACATTCTTCATAATAACAAACAATCCAAATGTCTGTCAACTGATAAATGAATAGACAAAATGTGCTATATCCAAATAATGGATTATTCATATATTTTTTTCATAAAATGCAATAAACTCTTGATACATGCATACAATGGAAAAGATGAACTATTCTATTCATACACTCAATGCAAAACATTTCTGTGTCCAGATGTGTGGATGTCCTATAATTCAATTCTGATGCAATCCAACTGGAGATAGTGTCAGATTCCACACGTTGAGAGGTTCAAGACCACAAAACTGTACCCATTTCAGATACCAAGCATTAGGATGCCACCAGAACTTTGATCCATCAGCTAGAAATTGAGGTTCCTACAACTCTCTTTTGGGTATGATTAATTTGCTAGAATGTTTGGGGGAATGAATATTTCAGATAGCCATTGGGGTTCAAAGGTAAACTATTTCTGTCCAGTGTTAAGAGATGAATTAAAATTAGATTGCAAGCAGAGTGGAATACCTGCAGCAGAATGCTATAGCCCACCCTGGGCTGGGTGAGTTTCATAAAGGTCAAAATGCAAATCTTGGCTACCATATGCTTTGCCTGGTTTCTTTCCCTCCTCTGTAACCATTCTTGCATGATTTCTTTTCTGCAGCTAATCATCTTCCTATGGTCATCTTCCAAATTCTGTGCCTTTAAAGAGCAGGTTAAGCCCGCTACTCTTCTTACTCCATGCTCTCCCATGGTTAATATACAACTGCAACTACCATGTATATTTTGATGATTCTAAAATATATGCCCCTGGTTCTGATCTCTCCCAAGCATTATATCTGGCTACATCTGATGCTTTTCACAACTAGGCATTTTCACCTACTTTCCCACATTTCCAAACCACAATGCTAACATTGCTCCTTCCTATCTACCTCCTCTCTTAGAAAACAGAATGACTTTTTGAGAGTGAGCACAATTATATGTACAGTAGAACAGGAGTGTCAGAGAGCCTGGTATGGCTTAAATATAAAGTGACCCTCAAAAGCTCACACATTGAGGGCTTGACCTCCAATGCAGTCATATTCAAAGATGAAGCTTTGGATGATAAGGGCATTGACCTCATCAATGAATTGATCCACTGAGGAATTCATAAGCTGAATGGGCTATTGGGAGCTGGAGCCTAGGGAAAGTAGGTCACTGGGGGCCATCCTCTGAAAGGTGTCTCTTCACAGGTTCTTTCCCTTCTCAGTTTGTTTCCCTCCTGCCATGAGGTGAGCAGCTTTCCTCTATGCCATGATGTTTCTGTCTTAGAGTAAGCCCACCATAGCTGAAAACACTGAAATTATAAACCAAAATAAATCAATCGTTCCTCCACTAAACTGTTTTTCTTAGGTATTGGCTCCAGTGATGGAACACTGACTGATATAAATCCCCTGAAACACGATGGATTATAGACACTCCTATAGTTTGAATGTGTCTTCCTAAATTCACTGGGTGGAAACTTAATTCCCAGTGCAACAGTGTTGAGAGATGGAACCTAATAAGAGGCATTCATGTGTAAATTAATGTCATTATTGAGAGTATACATTAGTTATCACAAGACTGGACTTACTATCCAAGTCAATTCGGCCTCCTCTTGCTTTCCTATTCTTTCCCTTTTGCCTTCTGCCTTGAGATAAGGACAAGAAGGTCCTCAGAAGATACATCACCTTGATATTGGACTTCTCAGCCTCCTGAACTATGAGAAATAAGGTTTTTTTTTCTTTGCAAATTATACAGCTGTGGGTATTTTGTTATAGCAGCAAAAATAAAGATAAAAATAAATAGAACCAACCAGGAAGGAAAGGAGGAACAAATTATCCTTTTGCTCAAGACACTCATTTGCTTGAGAGATTTAAATTATTCTTTAATGTTCAGAAATAAAAATCCAAATTCCCTATGCTGGTACTCATAGTATAATCTTGGCCATAATTTAATTTAAAAGCAGCATATGTTAAACACATAAAAGAAGCATATAAGCATATGTCAAACACAAATAATCCAGGCATGTACAAGGAATTTCAACATACACTTTGACCTCAAGTAGTTTATGGTCTAGTGAGGAAGGCTCACTAGTAAAGAAGAAATGTTCATACAATGTGGTATAAAAAAGGGTTAAGTAGAAGGTGCTGTACAAACACAGAGAATCTTACCCAATGATTCAGAGGGTGGGGTGTGTTAGAAATGTCTTCTCTGAAGCCGTAACTGTTCTGAAACAAGAAAAAATGAAATTAGTCCCTGCAGTTGGAAAAATAGTATCTCAGACACAAGCTTACCCTGTCTGTGGGCCCTTTCATAAAGCTGAATCCAGACTGATGATGCTGACAGAGAGAAACTGTGAACACAGACAGCAATTTCAGTGGGTAAAGGGGAAGCGAATATCAATAGGATGTTAAGAAGTAGACACAAAAAGGAACATTTTCCCAATAAATTTGGGTGTGAGTAGAAAAAAGAGATAAAGGAAGGGATAGAAGAGATGTGGTTTGGAAGAGTATTTAGAGTTGTTGTGTTTACATGTTTCTAAGAGAAGAGAGAAGTGAACAAGTCTAAATGTTGAAGAGAAGAAATGAGAGGCATGAGAATGGGACAGCTATAGGGCCAGGTCCTCCGTGCAGAGAGGCTAAAAAGTTGAAAAGTGAAGTCCCAGCCTCATTCTGTGGGGTCAGAAGGAAGAGAGAAGAATGAATATAGAGCCAGGGTAATAGGAATTTGATGAAAGTCATTCTCAAAGTCAGTGACAGGGCAAATAAGTAAGCAGCAAATATAGTTTGCAAAATGTGAAGGTGGAAGCAACCTTAATAATTATAGAAAGATTGGCTTATTATGGTGAATAGTAAATGAACTGGTGTTTTCCATAAAATCGGGGAACAGCTAAATTAGGATTAAACAAGAAAACAGCAGAGATAGGTGATTAGCATTTTAAAATGGAATATTATTTTATGATTTCAGAGGTAGATCAAATTCCAGGTGATGCTAAGGTCTAGCAATGGGGCTGAGTGGCAAATTGGAAAAAAAAAGGTTATGAAAATAACTGGAACAGAGGAAGTCAGTGATCTGAGATGTCGACAAGTTGAATGGATCATCCACGTGTGCCTTCAACTGTGTCTGATGGCAAGTCTTCAGGAGCAGAGGAAACCAGGGCTAAACCCTTCTGTGAGTGCTGCAGCAGAAGCAGAGGCATGGAGGTGATGGTCAAATGGAGATAGAGTACCCTACAGCCCAATGGCATAACCCATAAAGATGCAGAATTTCTACAAAATCAAGGAAGAATGATTCAGTACCTATCTTCCTGCTTCTCCTGCCTATTTTCCACACTGTAATTGGGTAAAACTATTTAAAAACATATATAGTTCTGAGCATGTTACTTCATATTAAGGAAAAAAATAGTATTTTCTTTCTACTCACACACATCCCAGAATACTTCTAAGACCAGATGCACGAGTTTCTGCCTGACTCACCAAGCAACCGTCCAGTGATGTCTGCTGGGTAACCTATAATGCAATTCAATTCTGACATAATTTACTTAGAGGCTACTTCAGATGCCAATCACAGGTGAGCTATAAATCTTCTTTGGGATCAATTAATTTGCTAGGACAACTTATAGTACCCAAGAAAACACTTGCACTAACTGCTTTATTCCAAAGAATACAGATGAAGATGAATAAAGTATGTTGGGGCAGTGTCTTGCCTGATCCTAAAGCAGGAACCCCACCTTCAGTCATCTCATAGGCATAAACCCAAGGGTAATCCAAAGGACTAATTATAAATAGCACAGACATATGTCACTTGGGAAATTTCGAGGGCTTTAGGAGCTCTAGACAGAAGCTGAGAACAATTTATATAAAATGATTTAGTTCATCTCTAAGAGTTGCCCAAATCCAGTTTCAGAATTGCTGAAAATTCAAATTCCAAAGTTTCCTCTGAGATTTAAGGCAAACTCTTAGCTGTGAGCACCTGTAAAAATCAAGAGAAAATTAATCACTGCCAATGTACAATGGCATATGATGGACACTCCCAGTCCAAAAGGGAGAAACAGGAGGATATATAGGAATGGGACAAAAGCAGAACAAAAGCCAGCAGGGCAAACACTAAAGCTCCACGTCCAGCACCTCGGGCAAGTTGTGGTGAATTAAGAACTCCAAAGGGCTTGGGTGGTCCTACCCTGATAGCATTGATAGTGGTGGGGCCACCCTCATGGCTTCTCTATCAGGATGGCTTTGCTCATTCCTTGAGGCTTTCCTCAGATATTCCATATTACTGGCTTTTCTGACATCCTGGAGTCTCTGTACTTACACTGCTCTCAGGAGAATATTCCCTGACCTCACAGGCCTTTGTCCGAAATCTGAGTAGAAACCATCCTGACTCCACAACTCTTGCATTGTGCATGCGTGTGAAACCAGCACCATGTGGTTGATGCCAAGGTCTGCTACCAGCTTGAGCAGTGGCTGAGCCCTTTTGCATGTTGTTGATGGTTGCAGTGACTTCACTGCCTGGATGGCTGAGCGTGGTGATATAGGGAATCTATTCCTACTTCCTAGGCTGCTGCCCTTCTGGGGTGTAGTGCCCTGGGGCTCTCTTCTCAAAGCAAAGTCTTTCATTTTTTCACTCTTCAGTCAGTGTTGGCTTGTTCTCATTCCCTCAGGAATCCTTTGTATAGTATACATCCAAAAATACAGCAACCAGACTCTCTTCTACCCTTTCTTTGGCAGAAATTTTACTAGAGCTTCTTTTCTGGTCAAATTCAAAACTATAAATTATTCATCTGTGACTTTTGCTCTCAATTCTTAGGGGAGAATTAACTAAAAGCCCCCGACAGTATCCATGCCACCACTGCAAGATTAGACTGCCTCAAAATGTCCTCAGTCAGGTTAATTAGTCTGCTGCTTTTAATCTTAGGCTCCCTCAGTCTCAAGACAGATGTAACATGTACACAAATTTTCAACCAGAGCACAGCACACATGGTCAAGAATCCAACTGCCAGTGGAGTCCTTGTTCCCACCTGAAACCTCCTAAACCAGTTCTTTTCCATCTGTTTTATCTTCATTTCGGTCTTCTAAGCTCCGACCAGAATCTCCCATGAAGCTCAGCTTACAGCATTATAGGGCTGCTTCTCCAGCTGGCATTTCCAAAACTTTGGCAACCCCTCCTGGGAGCCAGTTCCAAAGGCTTCTGAACCACATAGTCATGTAATATCACAACAACCCCACTTCTCTGGCACCAAAGTCTGCCTTACTTTTGCTGGGACACAATTCCTGACACCTGTTAATTAAAGGAGGAAAAATTTATTTTGGTTCACAAATTGTAAAGGTTTCAACCCATAGTTGGCTCCAAGGCAAGGCAACAAGGCAGAGGGGTGTTGCAGAGGAGAAACAGCTCACCGCATGGCAGCAGGAAGCAGAGAGATCAAGAGAGGAGGGAGGAACATATATATAGGCCATGTCCCCAGTGACCCACTTCCTCCAAACAGGCTCCACCTCTCAACATCACATTTAAGCTACAAATTTAGTCCACTAGATTAGTCCACTGATGAGTATCACATCCTGATGACCCAATCACCTGCCCAAAGTCCAACCTATGAATGTATGGAGGGATTATGGAGGGAGACCTAGATATAAATCGTAACACTCCAAATATTTCATTGGGAGATCATCACCTCAATCGTGTGGTTGAAGGAATTGAGGCTCAGAGGTTTAATGGTTTGTTCAGTTGCTCAGCTATGCAAAGACTGAGGCAAGATAGGAAACCCAGAGGGTCTAACTTCATTTCTTCTCTCTTTTCATTACCTCTATATATAACAGAATGATGTCTTGCATATCAGAGAATGATTAATTTAAGGATAATTATTCCTTATTTAAAAACAAAATTTAGATCTTACTGTTGTTTGATATAAACTGACTCCCTTGGTGTGGATTTACAGTAAACCAATAAAGCTAAGCTTTGAGAACCACTCAGGAAAGTGCTTTCCAAACCTATTTGATTTTTATTTAAAATTGTGTGGTTTGGGATCTTCAAAAGTGCTCCTTAAATTAAAAACTTGGCATCCACAAAATCTGGATCTGCTCTTGCTTCTATCACAGACACAAATCTTTTACAACATTCCCAGTAAGCAGTTCAGCCTGCACTGGTGGGGAACTCACCCCTGCAAAGGAAACTGTTTCATTTCCTCTGGTTCTAATTCTTTACAGGTACTTTTTACAAGTATTATTTATTTAGTGTCTGACAATATCTCCCCAATCCAGTTCTTTTTTGTTTTGATTTTGGTTCCGGGTATTGAACTTGGGTCCTTGCACCTGCGAGGCAGGCAGCAGAACCACTGAGCAAAATCCCTGGCCCCTGAGTTCTTTTTATACAGTACCAAATCTACCACCTGACAGTATCCATGTATGGATTTTAGTTCAATACTTTGAAACTAGGAAAAGTAAAACCTAATTCCTTTCCATCTAAAAGGCCTGAAAGTGTTTGAACACTGTTACAGCACCCTTTCCAGGTCCTCTTCAGCGTTCCCAACCTTCCCTCAGGTCTTGTCATCTTGGCCTATTTTTTCTTCCAGTTGTTGATTTTCTTTAGAACATTCTAAGTTTGGTTGATTTTCAGAGTACAAAGAAACCTCACTGCTACACTTGTTTGTGAAAGAGTGTGCATGTATCACCATAGACATGTATCATTACACAGAAATGTGTATTTGATTGACCATTGTGGCTTGCCCAATACTACTGCACCATAATTTTGTTTTTTATCCCAGACTTCCTAGTCCTGAGCAATGATTCCTAGTATTCTTCTGGTGATGAAATTCAATTCACATGACCTGTTAGGATCCAGCAAGACTTAGCATGAAAGTTTTTTGGTATATTCCAGAAATGTGCTCTGGGAAGACAGCACAGATATAGCTGTTTTGGCATACAATATCACCAGATCCATACCCCTTGATAGGCATTACCCCTCCAAGATCACACTATTTTTTTATTGAGTTTATTGGTACATTTTAGGTATACAGTATAATTACATTCATTATTGGGATCTTGTACCTTTACATGACAGGCCTTGGTTCTCATTTTTTCCCCTTGTTCCTGCCCTCCCTTCATCCCCCCTCCCCTCCCCATTTACAAACACTTTATTTCCATTTTTTCATATTTTTTTCTTTTCCCTTCTTCCCTTTCCCCTACCCTTCCCACTTTCCCTATTTCACATTGTCAATTATCTCATTAGGATC